TAAGACATGCATGAACAAGGACATCTGTATACACATGTGCATATACTTCGATATTTAATATACCCTGAGATACAATATCATTTAAGTTTTGCTTTTTTTTCCTTTTGGTTTCATAAGACAGCTCACAACTACCCAGAACTCCAATTACAGGGTATCCGGTGCACTCTGGCCTCCGCAGGCACCTGTGTGCACATGGTGCACATAAACTCATGCAGGTACACATATAGTTAAAAAAATTTAATCCCAGCACTCAGGGAGGCTTAGACAGGCAGATCTCTGAGTTCAAGGCCAACCTGGTGCTGGGATTAAATTGTGAGCTGCTTGATGTGAGTGTGGGGAGCCAAACCTAGGTCGTCTACAAGAGCAGTAACTGCATCCTTTTTCTTTTTGGTTTTTCAAGACAGGGTTTCTCTGTAGCTTTGGAGCCTGTCTTGGAACTAGCTGTTGTAGATCAGGCCGGCCTCGAACCTACAGATATCTGCTTACCTCTGCCTCCAGAGCGCTGAGATTTAAGGTGTGCGCCACCACTGCCCAGCTAGTAATTGCATTCCTAACCACTGAGCCATGAGTCCAGTTCCCATGGTATTATATTTAAAGGATGAAAATACATTTGACTAGCTGTTGCTTAGAAGGCTTGAGCGTATCTAGAATGATGAGAACGATGAACTAAGATCACTGGGTAGAAACTAATGGGAGATAAATTTCTTTTCAGTATTGAGATCTTTGTTGCATAAATAAAGTTGTGTAAAAGCTGATAAGTTCAACAGATGGATTTCAATATCTGGGGGAACACATGGTAGGAAAGGACCATTTCCTGTAAGCTGTCCTCTGACCCCCCTCTCCCACACCGTGACACACACTCACACAAAGTAACTGTAAAAAAAACTGAGTTGTCCAAAAGAAAGCAGCCATCGAGTGGGCTACTTAATGACAGTATGACTTCTCTGTCAAAGAAAAACTTTAAACAGACATTGGAGGTGTGTTGTAGTGGTGCGTGTATATAACCCCAACACTTTAGGGGTAAAGACAGAAGGATCAGAAGTTAAGGGTCAGCTTCTGCTACATAACTATCTAAAGGTCAGCCTGGGATAAATGAGACCCTGCCACAAACAAGACACTGTAAGTTCATCTAATTCCTATAGCAAGGCAGGAAATCCAAGCAGATAAAGAGGAGGAAAGAAGATGGAGTCAGGCTGACACCACGTAGCCACCCAAGAAGCAAGGGGTAACAAACTAAGAGCCTCGAGGTAAAATATAAAATACAAATTGGTTAATTTAAGGTATAAGAGTTAGATAATGGGTGGTCCTTGGACTTCCCACAGGGCAGAGAACCCTGATTGCTTTTTGGGCTGACGAGGGAGGGGGACTTGATTGGGGGAGGGGGAGGGAAAGGGGNGACTACTCACCCCCCTCTGGAGCTCCAGCTCCAGGACATGGCCTCCTTGGGCACCAGGCACACGTGTGGTACACATACTCACATACAGGGAAACACTCATGTACAGAAAATAAAAAGAAATATAACCCTTTGAAGAAATCCATTATCGGTGGAGAGAAAAAGAACATGAAGTTCAGTGGGTATGGAGGCGGGAATCAGAGAAGACTTGGGGATGGCAAGAATATGATCAAAATTATACATGAAAATTTAATAAAAAGCTATCAGTCAAAAAGTAGAAAGAAAAAAGAATATGCATGTGTGGATCTAAACTATCTAAATCTGATGAATCAAACTGCCTCAGATCTTGGATTCTAATTATCGTTTTTTTTACCAAAAAGCAAAGCAAAACAAAGAGCAATAAAAACAAAAACAAGCATCTTTGAGGAAACTACTAATTCCAAGGCCAGGGGAAAGGTGTCAATGAAGACAGGTGTGTCTGGTATAAAAGAGCAAGGCAAACATCTGAACTGTGATGAAAGAACAGCACACCCAGCCTGAACAGCTCTTACTAGGTAAAAAGTAAATAATTGGGCTCACCCTGAGGAAATAAAAAAATAATTCTTTTATTAATCATAGTCATTCTACAATAATAATCTATGAAGCTATATTGACATAAACAACATGTGGAAAGCATTGTGAAGATAATGGCATATGCATAATTTCAAAGTATAGTCTACACCAAAACACTAATTAGTGCTTATAACTTACGATGGGAAAATCTTTCTGTGTACTAATTTTATCAAGTAATCAAAGACAAAATTTAACCAGGAGCAACCTAAAACTATGTGAGGAGAGCAGCAAAGTGTCACCCTTCATCATCCTGACCCCAAATGTATCCAGTTTTGAGAGAGCCTTTGATGAACACATAGACAATCTCACCACAAAAGAAAAGGTTTTAGCCTTCAAAGGTATCAGCTAAGGAAAGACTGGGTAGGCTTTCAATATGGAATTAATATGAAGAAAGATAACACCTAAATATTTGGTTTTTATTCAGAAACCTTTATAGAATAAATAGAATAAATCATAAAATTGAGTTGAAACTGATAATAAATTGTATCTGCCTTTGATTATGAGAAATAAACATTAAAGTATCGTGAACAACAACAACAAAAAAAAGTTAGATAATAAGAAGCCTGAGCTAATAGGCCAAATGGTGTTGTAATTAATAGTTTCTGTATGATTATTTGGGTCTAGGCAGCCGAGATGCAATGTATTTTATAATTGAAAAGACTAATATGATACAGTTCTAATTTTTAAATGAACAGCTGGTGAGGTCTGCACAAAGTCCCAGCATGGATACTCATGAAGTCCTGCACCTAGCTGAGGAACTACCAGCAACTGATGGGAGCTCAATGGAGGAGGAACAATCACTTTTCTTCAGGGATGTGACCCGCAGAAGCTACCCATGCTCTATAAGATGCATCTATATACTGGCAGCACTAAACATTCTCTGTGTTCAAGAAAAATAAGAGAGAGTATATGTGCTGGAAATAGGGGACGGACTGGAGGGGAGGAGATGGGAGAAGAACTGATAAAGCTGATATGCTTGTATGAAATTCTCAACTAATTAAAAAATTGAATAACCACTGTACTAAAACAATTAGACATCTCTCAGGTTCTACTCTCTTTGGAATCCTGCTAATAAAACCTTTGCTTCTGCAAGAAAGATTATTAACTGGCCACGATATTCAGGGGCTTAAAAAAACTATCTAAAAAATCATCAATACCTACCTCAAAAGTTCTCTATGCTTGGACCTTCACCTAAACTCCCCGAAAAGGAGCTAGTGGCAGCCTTCGACTTGTCATAGGTACTTCGTAGGAAAGCAGCAAAATGTCTATAGTAGGCGTCACTGTGTGTGTTCCCACAACACTACACATTAAATGGGGTCTCGCTATGTAGCCCTGGCTGGTCCTGAACCCAATATGTGTAGACCAAACGGGCTGGCCTTGATATTTACAGAGATCCACTTTCCTCTGCCTACCCATGAGTGCTAGGATTAAATGCATGCACCATCACATCCATTTCTGGCTATATTATAAGCCAGATTGGGCTATAACAAACTCGGGGGGGGGGGGGAAGAAAAATCACGAAAACCATTTAAAATAGGTGCAAAACTTTAGTTTTTTTTCCCTATGTATTCAAACGCACTTATGTAGTCATCTACCTGTTCTCTGACCTTTCTGGACTTTGAGCTCCTTTAGAGCCCAGAGGCTATATTATCTGAATACTGAGGCTTTTCACTCCAGCAGGTTGGCATACCATCAGAACCAACAAATCTATATTGTTTTGTTTTGTTTTGTGTGGCTGTGAGACAGAGTTTGTTTTTTGGTGTGTGTGTGTGTAGCCCAGATAGGCTGGAACTCAGAGATCTGCTTGCCTTTGCTTCTCAAGCAGAGATTAAAGGCATGCGCCACTATACTCCGAGGGCTGAGCTGGCCCTCTAGTGATCCCACAACAACAAAAAAACATGCCTAGGTCAAAAATAAACAGCATAGTCTAAAACTAGCTTCAAAGGTAGGAAGACCGAAAGATTTTCACAAATTTTACTAGGCTGTGAGCTTTTTTTTTTTTTTAAAGGAAGGAGTCTGCTTCAGCCATTCCTATCTGTAGTGCCTATATATCCACACAACACATGCTCAAAAAACAGTGAATTAAACAGCCTCACCTTTAAATATGCCTTTTATGAGCGGAGCTACTGCTGTATTAAAGACCTCTTCCTGCTCAGTAGAGGGGTCAAACACAAAATCGTAGGTAAACGATTTATCATTACCAACCACCACCTGCAAAAGGCAAAAGATAGGCATTGGGGGTGGTGAGAACTAAAACCCAGACCACGCCCCCAGCTGCCTTTCAGCTCCAGCTGGGGCGATCTAAACTCTTACCCACCTGAGGCTCTCCGGGTACAAAGGACAGGCACGTCTGGCAGCCCTCACTGATCTCTTTGGAGACCAGGGGGCGACAACGCAGTGCCACCCTCACAGGAATTCCCTTCACCTCTTCTTTCATGGTCGCAGCTCAGCAGGCGTCCACGCGGAGTGAAGGCGGCTCTCTAAAGGGGCACCGGAAGCTGGCAGGAGAGGGAAGGCCCTGAGGCCGTAGGGGCTCTGGGAACTCGGCGGGGCAGCCTCCCTCCCAGAGAGATCACAGACCTCCCGTCACTCACACTCGGCCACAGCCTAAAGGTCAGTCAGTCTCAGCACTGCGGTGTCTGAAATAAAAAGGAAAAAAAACCCTCCAGCGCAGCCAGCGACCTCGCCAAACCCCTAACGTACTAGAAAGGGCCGCATCTGAGCTACCGCGGCCCAGTAACTCACCAAACTAAACGTCCCTTTCCCGGATCTTCCCTGGCGCCCTGTTCCAACTGGAGCTGTAACCGCCAAGTTTCAAATTGAGCCCAGAGGCGCCAGCCAATCGCAGCGCAGACAGCCGGGCGGGAACCTGCGCATGAGCACGCACAACGTGACGCCGGCGACGGCTTGGGAACCGGCTGGCTGCAAGCGAGCTCCGCCCACGCTCGCTGGTAGCCAGCATCCGCTTCCGGTTCCCGGGCCGAATTGGCCGCGAGCCAGGGCGCCGCGGAGGGAGGCCTGTTTGCCGGTGAGGTGGTGCTGCGATAAGTGGTCTCGAGCGCGGGCTTCGGGCGGGAGGCAGGACCTGGATCTGGAAAGGAGCCGGTGCCGACGGAGTCCATCTGTGGACGGCGCGTTTACTAAGCACCTCTAAAGAAGGTGGGGCGGCGCCTGGCCCCAAGCCCTATGGGAGAGAGTTGGCACTCCCTTGCTGTTTTAAAGTAGATCTTTGTAGCTGCGTTCTAATTTCCCCTTCTCTGGGTTGAAGGCGATGACACCGATATTTCTAGAACTGTGAGAAATGAGAACATGCCATTAGAGTGCTTAACAAGGTGCTAGGCATTTAGATATTTAGAAAAGTTGATAAGGGTTTTTTTTTTTTTTTTTTTTTTTTTTGCCCTCTTGTCCCCTTCCCAATCTCAACACGTCCATGCTGCTAGACCCATAAATGGATGGCCTTAGGGTGGAACGTTTTCTGAAACAGAGAGCTTAGTCCTTTGAAAATCATTTTGTTTGCTTTGATTTCTCCTTTTCAGGGCTTTGCCTGAAATGGATACCCGGATCCCTTATGATGATTACCCAGTGGTTTTCCTGCCTGCCTATGAGAATCCCCCAGCATGGATTCCTCCTCATGAGGTGGGAGCCATCCTCGTCCCTGAATAAGGGATACCTACCTCCAAGTATGAGATCTATGAAAGATAACGTAGCAAGATCGTGCAGCTGAATGGAGAGTGGATTCAAGGGGTGAATTCCAAACGGGGACCCACCCATAGGAGACTTCTTGTAGTATCATCTTTCCAGGACTTTTCACGCCAGTGGATGCCGAAAACTAGGAATCATAGTTTCCATTCTGTCAATACAATAGTGATCTTTGGGGCTGCTAGCGGGTCCTGAGGCTGAACATCTCATTTAGACTGTGGTATCTGTTCCATAGAAACTGAGTCTGTGACTTTCTCACTTCCTAGCCCTAAGTTAGCTGGTTTATTAATGTTCTAGAAGAAGATAGGTGTAATTAAGATTGGCAGGAAGATTTCTGAGGTTGCTGTGTCTTGCAGAGAGTGTACCACCCAGACTACAACAATGAGTTGACCCAGTTTCTGCCCCGAATCGTCACACTGAAGAAGCCCCCTGGTGCACAGGTAAACTTATAGAAGCCGCTAATCTCACCTACATTTTGGCCATGCCAGAGGTTGGACTTGGTTGGGGCCTTGATGTGAATTGGGAAGTAGGTGGCCAGAAAAGCTGGTGCTTCCGTAGTGTCTCGTTTTCTTCTGAGTACACTGATGTTCCTACGTATTCTTGTGTCTGTGATCTTGTCTTACAGCTGGGATTTAACATCCGAGGAGGAAAGGCCTCCCAGCTAGGCATCTTCATCTCCAAGGTCTGTGCATGAATGTGTGTGTGGCAGGGTGCGTGGCTAGCTACTTCCTTTTAACAAAGGGAATTTATTAAAATACACTGGTGCCCCAATAGCTGGAGAATGGATGACCGGTGGAGTCATAGAATGGGCATAGCAGGAACTCACCCTTTCCTTCTCAAAATTGCATTCGGGTCAGGTGTGGTCAGTAATCTGAGGACTCCAGAGGCAGGAGCGGGAAGGTCGGGAGTAGGCAATAAGAATCTAAAGCAGGCTAGGTGGTGCACACCTTTAATCCAAGCACTGGAAGCAGAGGCAGGTGGATCTCTGAGTTTAAGAACAGCTGGGACCAAACAACAAAAAAAGAATCTATAAAGGCAACTGCACGCCTTTGATCTCAGCACTCGGGAGGCAGAGGAGGTGAATCTCTGAGTTCAAGGCTGCCTGGTGTACAGATCAAGTTCCAGCACTACACAGAGAAACCCTGTCTCAAAAAAGAACTATAAAAAGCCAAAAACAAATTGAGAAGCAGATTTCATTTGGCAGCCCGCTTATCTCCCAGTAGGGCACACTTGAGCAACCCTGAATTTCCCCTGCCATCTCCTGGAATTAGTCCACCTCAGTTACGTGTATTATCCCTTTACTAACAGGTCATTCCAGACTCAGATGCACATCGAGCCGGACTTCAAGAAGGGGACCAAGTTCTAGCTGTGAATGATGTGGATTTCCAGGATATTGAGCACAGCAAAGTAAGCATAGCACATGGGCTATAGTCCTATAAGAAGCCATCTCAGGTAGGACAGGCCGGACGGGATTAGCCTTATCTGTAAGAAAGCATCTCTTCAAGGGAAATGCACCAGAAAAGAGCAACTCTCGGTGACCTAGATGTTTGAAGTGGCAGATTACATTCCTTTGGTGTGTTTCTGTCCTGGGTAACCTCTCATCATTTGTACAAGCTGCTGTGTTCCTTCCAGGCTGTTGAAATCCTGAAGTCAGCCCGAGAAATCAGTATGCGCGTGCGCTTCTTTCCTTACAGTAAGACAACTTTTTTTTTTCCTTACATGGCAGGGCTCTAGGTACATAGAACTCTTTTTAATATGGAGAACAGCAAACCCTGGAAGTTGGGAATGGGGAAATTGGGAGCTCAGCCCAAAAATAATGTGGTGTGTTCTTTCTTACCCCAGATTATCATCGCCAAAAAGAGAGGACTGTGCACTAGAGGCTTGCAGCCCATAGCCCTCCATGTGGAATCTGCCCGAGCAGGCCAGCTAGCCCTCTGAGACGCAATCGGGAAATTCTACTCTCAGCGCCTTCCTGGCTTTGCGGGTGGGGAGGATGGGGAGCAGCTTACCAGCTGCGTTCTATATAAACTGTACTATCCTTGGAGTTCCCCTAGTTTCCTAGGTGAGTTTCATTCTGGAAAAGGAGAGAGCTGGTGATGTTTGTAGCCTGTGTGGAAAGCCAGCTGGAAAGCAACTGGCATTTATCAGGTACCACAGATGGGTCACTTAGCATTTTATTTGTAGAAATCAGAAAGAGAATCTGGGGACCTTCCATCTGATTTGCCTAGCCATGTCACCTAGTCCTTGTACATATACTTTGGAGTCCCATACACTTGGGAGACTCTGAAGAGACACTGGTTTTGCCCCTTCCTCCTCATCCCCCTAAAGTAAAAACAGAGTGCCAAACAAATGTGGCTTGAGTGATACTATATGAATATAAATTACCACTGAGTAAAAAAAACCTACAACAACCAAACATTGAAAGAAACAGCAACATCAAACCTATTTTATTTATTTATTTTTTTATTAAAAATTTCCGCCTCCAGCCGGGCGGTGGTGGCACACGCCTTTAATCCCAGCACTTGGGAGGCAGAGGCAGGCGGATCTCTGTCTACAAGAACTAGTTCCAGGACAGGCTCCAAAACCACAGAGAAACCCTGTCTCGAAAAACAAAAACAAAAACAAAAAAATTTCTGCCTCCTCCCCGCCTCCCTTTTCCCTCCTCCTCCCCTCACTCCCCACACCCCATTCATCAAACCTATTTTACAACTATCTGTATCTGGCTAGAATACTTGGGAGGTTAAAGAACCTTAGCTGTAGAATAACCAAGGGATGCCTAGGGTCAAAGACCCTGCAGGCTAAAACTGCCCCTTCTCCAGGAGTGTTAGGCTGTCTGTTACAGGGGCTGGTATTAATATGTTTCCCATGTTCTCTGATCTGGAACTTAAACCAAGGAAGTAGCATGGATACACTGCTTCTCATAAGCAGCAGTAGGAAACTGGTTCGTGATTTCCCACTTGTAGTTTGAGTAGAGCTAACTGCCAACTTCCTCCTTTTTCTGACCCCACCCCCAAATAACTTTTTGTCATCGTAGATATTTAGTGACTGACCATTAAATACTACAGAAATCACATCTGTGCAGTCTCCACTGACATCAAAATACCATTCAGAATTTAAAGTTTTTTATTCCCTCTGAAGGTGCTGCTGCAATGAAAGCCCAAATTTTGACTTAAAAATCCCACAGAGAATCATCAAGATGGCTCTCTGGGTTGACAATCTGAGTTTGACCCCTAGGACCCACATGGTGAAAGGAGAGAACTGAGTCCCAAAGTTGTCTGTTGCCCTCCACCTGCAGGCTTTGGCATGCAAGCACATACAAGAATCCTGGGGAAGAGAGTGAATCTTTGGTTTGTGGGAGAACTAGAAATCTACCTATTTAAATAAACAAGTCAGTTTTTCAAATGGATGACATGCAGAAACTGGCTCTTCCCATGAATCCTACCCCAGCTATACTAAAGGTATTGCTCGAGGCTCAGTTCTGTTATTGGCACCGTACCTTCTGAACAGAGATGGAGGTAGAATTAGTTTGTCTTCCTGAGAAATCCTCTAATTTGCTCTGCTGACCCCCAGTGGCCATCTGAGAAAGAAAAGCATGGACATTTCTGCAAAACCTATTAGCTGAGTCTACCAAATAACGTTAAAGTCAAGACTCTCCGTGTTTAAGAAATTTTTGTTGAGTTTTTTTTCCCCTGAGACAGGTTCTTGCTACATAGTCCAAACAGGCCTTGGACTCAGGATCTTCCCGCCTCATCCTCTGAAACTCAGAGATCACAGGTGTACACCACTACACCCAGCTGTGTTTAACGTGTGTGTGTGTGTGTGTGTGTGTGTGTGTGTGTGTGTGTGGTGTGCATGTGTGTGTGAAGATCCAGGGGTGTGTGCGTGGATGTAAAGGTCCAAATCAACTATTTCCTCAATCACTTTCCACCTTATCTTTTGGTGACAGTGTCTCTCACTGAACCTGAATCCTTTTATTTGACTGGCCTGTTTGGCAAGGAAGTCCCAGGGAGCTTCCTCTCTCTGCCTCCCCAGTGCTGGGATTACAGGTATGTGCTGCTACATCCAGGATACCTTTTTTTTTTTTTTGAGACAGGGTCTCTATTATGTATCTCTGGCTGTTGTGGAACTTACTGTGTAGACAAGGCTGGCCTCGAGCTTGGAGAGATTCACTTTCCTCTGCTGGGATTAAAGGTATGCGCCACTATGACAGACTAAACGTCTAGCATTTTAACTGCACTGTGGGGTTCAAACTCATGTCCTCATGTTTGTGCAGCTAATACTTTACTGACTTAAACATCTCTGTAGCCTCCAGTTGAGATTACTCCTCACCACTAATTTATTAATTCATTACTCACGTTTTACATCTAAGGTACAGGGAACATCGCAGAAAAGGGGGATGGCGTGGAAATATGTCAGAGCCAAAGGATAGATAGGAGAGCTTTCTTCTGTGTCCTGGATACGACATAGCCTTGTAGTCACAAACACACCACAGCTATGGCTACCTGCATAAGAACTTTTGAGATTTGTATGATGAGCTAGGGGGAAGCCCATAGAAGCTTCTTTTTTATTATTTATTTATTTATTAAAGATTTCTGCCTCCTCCCCACCACCGCCTCCCATTTCCCTCCCCCTCCCTTACTAGACCTGGAAGGAAGTGGGAGGTCCTTGGACTCCCCACAGGGCAGGGAACCCTGACTGCTCTTTGCTGACAAGAGAGGGGGAGTTAATTGGGGGAGGGGGAGGGAAATGGGAGGCGGTGGCGGGGAGGAGGCAGAAATCTTTAATAAATAAATAAAAAAGCTTCTTGTAAAGATCTTGCTCTAGAATAGCATTTGTCAACATGTAGGTTACGACCCCTTTGAGGGGTTGACCAACCCTTTCACAGGGGTCACCTAAGACCATCAGAAAACAGATGTTTACATTATAGTTCATAACAGTTGCAATATTATAGTTTATGGAGTAGCAATGAAGTAACATTAATTTTATGGCTGGGGTCACTATAACAGGAGGAACTGTATTAAAGGGTCGCAGCATTAGGAAGCTTGAGAACCACTGCTTTAGGACGAGGTTCACAGGTCCTCGTCCTAAAATTAAAATTATTTTAATTTTACTAATGTGGTTATTGTTCTAAATAAGATTCTTCAAGGCCCAGTAGAGTGCCACTGAGCTGGATTTCAGGTTAAATTTTATTTAATGTAGGTGGCTTGCGGGAAGCTTGTGAACTTGGCCTTTCAGTCGTCAATGAAGATAGATAGGGTTCTCTGTGTCACCGAGTAGTAGTTAGGCGATGGAGTAAAAGGAGCTGACTACTTCTGGGAGCTGCTTTATTTAAGTATAGGAGTTGGAAGAGAGTATTAAAACCATAACCCAGCCAGGTGTGGTGGTGCACGCCTTTGACCCCCAACACTTAGGAGACAAAGGCAAAGAGGAACTCTGTGAGTTCTAGGCCAAACTAGACTACACAGCAAGCTCCAGGACAGCCCGGACTAGATAGAACAGTGGTTCACAACCTTCCCTTTGACCCTTCATACAGTTCCTCATGTTGTGGTGACTCCCAACCATAAAATCATTTCCATTGCTACTTCATAACTAATTTTGCTACTGTTATGAATTATAATGTAAATATCAGTTTTCCTGTGGTCTCAGGTGGCCCCTGTGAAAGGGTTGTTCAACCCCTTCCAAGGGGCCGCAGCCCACACATTGTGAGCCACTGACAGTAGAGAGACCCTGTCTCAAAAACAAACAAACCAGCTGGGCAGTGGTAACACATGCCTTTAATCCTAACACTTGGAGGCAGAGGCAAGCAGATCTCTGTGAATTCAGGATCATCCTGGCCTACAAAATGAGTGCCAGGACTGTTACACAGAGAAACCCTGTCTCAACAAAACCACCATCACCCTAGGGATGGGAAAGAATAGCTGTTATGGGAAGCCCAAACACAGTGTCTACCAAATTGGGCAACGATGACCTAAGCCATAGATGGGGAAAGGGGTTTTGATGCCTGAATTCTGAAAGTTCTCAAGTCAGTTTTCAGCCCCTAAGTTTTATGAGATGGTAGGAGAGTTGAGGAGATGAGTCTCCTAGGGACAACTAGTAAAAATGAGGGGTTCTGACCACATAGTCTTTACTTAAAGTCAAACCAAGAAGCTACCTTTGGCTAAAGTTAGTTCTGTTTTCCTTTACCACTAAGCAGAAAGTTTGTCCTGGCTTTTAACACTGAGTGAAGCTTGCTGCTCTGCTTTCACTCTCCCTACCCCCGGAAAAGCTAAGAAAAAAAGATGTGCCCCTTTTCCAGGAATGGAGGTGAAGCCATTTCTGAAACGAAGGGCAGAAACTGTACTGCAAGTGCTGCTGCCTTAGTATATGGATAGTGCAAGCAATTTTTAAAAGTTCAGAGAGTAAGATGATTTTGTGCTTTCAGGCTGTATGATGGGGGGATGAACCTTGCCTCCTCGCTGTCATAGGGCAATATAAGGTTATCTAAGCGGTGGTGGGTAAGTAGAGAGTGCAAAGGATGTGTCGGAAAGAGAAATGGGTGTTGTGTTTTTCACACTGCAGCTGGTTTTGGCACTGGTCTCAATAAACTTCCCATTGAATTCAATTATTCTTCACCCTCTTCTGCAGAGACTTGCCTAGCTAAAGGAGGATAGTAAAGGGACCAGATAACAGAAACCTGTAGTGAGCTTAACTCCTTTACATATATATGGTGATGCCAGGAGCACTGGAAGCCTTGAATCCATGACTTTCTGTTCCAACCTAGTTTCTGCTCCCCCATAGAAACAGCACAGTAGGCCCTCCATGTGAGGATTGGACTTGAGGTGTGCAGACCAACAAACCTTACTATTTGTTGTTCAGAGCAGTCATATACCACAATGGCGACACCTCTTTCTGCCCATACATCTAGTACTTGTCTCTGTGAAAGACCAACCATTGTGTTTTCTTCAGAGACCCCTCCACCATCAACACATGCCAACGCATACCACAAGAGAGACTCATCCTAGAAGTAGCCTCCCCATCCCATTCCATAGTATTCATAGCTTCTTATCTTAAAGCCCATTCCAGACCAGAAACATGAGCCTGGCTTTGCATAGAGACTGGTATTTGTGTTTCCTATTGCTCTAGACCACAGCCTCTGGCCTCATTGTAGGGCTCTTGGCCTCACCATAGAAGGAGCAGAAACATTCCTTGAGCTGGACAGGCAGAAATGATGTAACAATGGTTTTCTGCACCTGTACCACCTGACATCACACCATGTTCTTCTCCAGTAGCAACTGGAAACAGTCGTCCTCACAGCCAGGCCTGGGAGTGGCCACACCCCTTTGGCTTCCCCTCTGCACTTCCTTATAGTATAAGTAAGTACTAGATACTGCTAGGCCAAAAGTTGATTACAAGAATAAGTGATCGAGTGGGGACCAGGGTAGCTGAGGTCAGAAAAGGCAAGTGACTTTTCCAAGGAAAGGCTGGGACCACATACGGGCAAAGTACTTAATACAAGTAATCTAATCAAGCTTGTGAGCCAGGTGGGGGAGGGGTGCAGGTGCTTGAAGCGGACAGATTCCCTAACCCCCCCACCCCCCCCCCCCCCCCCCCCCCCCCCCCCCCGTAGTTACAGTCCTCTCCTAAGAGGAAGGAAATAGCACAGAGATCACCAGCTGGTCTGGACAAAGCTATTTTTTCAAGTGCTGCAGTGGGGCTTCTACACAGGACTGGCAGAGATAGGCTGCTGGCATCTCTGAACTCCATTTGCTGCTGGAGTTTTCCAGTTCTGCCTGGTCTGCCTCATAAACTCCTCAAGGACTATGTCCTCCGAGCTTGCAGAAGCAGCATAGGAGAAGTGAGGGTTAGCAAAACTCTTCCTGGGCTTTCTCCACATTCTTGATTCTAAAAAGACACTCCCTTTCCTGCTTCTCAGCCCTCCCCCACCTCCATGGAGGGCTTGTTTCCCTTTTGAGTCTGTCTAGACAATGGTGTCCCGGGAGTGTTAAAAGGGAAACGAAGGAGTGTAGGAAGGTCAGGTAGAGGGAAGGGATTATAAAAGGTAGACAGGAATGATGCAATGTACCCCAAATCAACAGCTTAAAATAGAGAAGGGGCAACCAGCCCAGTTTTGCCAGTGGGTATGGGATTATAAAGAAAACAGCAGAATGGGTTTTTGAAGGGAAAGAAGAGAATGGAAGGGATGAGGGGAAAAACAATTCCAAGAAGATCACCGGCTGACAGGCAGGGAGACAGAAAACAGGGCTGTAGAAAGCACCAGGCTGTGACGTGAAGCTAGACCATGCTTCCGGTTCAGTCTTGAAAGCGACACTTAGAGGAAGCTTTTAAAAATTCCATCATAAAACAGCAGTAGGCAAGGGGGTGGGATAGGCTTCCAAGCCTCATACTGACTTACCTGGTAACCACCTTGCAAGGATGGAGAGGGACACAAAATGGCTCTGCAGTCCCGTGAGGAAATTTCTTTGCTCTTCTCCCTCCTTTTTTTTCTGGGTCTCCCCTCACCTATATGTCCCCTGAAAACCTAGACATCCTATCTACCCCTGCCTAGACCAACTGGAAATCTTCACACACACCCCAACATAGGACACCAGCAGGTTGACTCTAACTTTGTAGGATACCATCTCCTTGTTCATTCCAGGTTGAAAACTTGATATTGTAGTGTCAATTTGGGGATGTTAGGAATATAATTGAATCTAGCTCCCCCAAATCCTTCCTGTGGTTTCCTATTGCCATGCCCTGTTACCTGTGTCTTTTCCCAAAAGATATCCCAGACTGATTACTTTTACCCAGTTGGGATGACATTTTTCTTCCTACAATTCCATTTGACTGTGTTACTGTCTGCTCAAGGGCCTTTTTTTTTTAATTGACTATAACTACTCTGCAATCTAGCCTCTCTTTTCTGCCCTAACTCCTAAACACCTAGAACATAGCCTAGGCAAAACTGCCTTCCTTTTTTGCTCCTCAAAATGCCATGTGGGATTCCTACCTTCTAGCTTCTTCCCATACCAGGTTTCCAGTCTGGAATGTTCCTTCCTTCTATTATTAATATCCAGATTTTACCCATTCTTCACAATATGACCCACATGCAACTAACACTTAGTAACACTTAGCTGTTGGATTCCATTCGCTTTCCCCTGTGTTCCTAATCCAGGCTGTATATTGACTGAAGGCAAAGACAGCCTTAAATTTCTTTGTATAATCTGATTGTGTTGCAGAGGAATGAACTTGTAATAAGCGCTCAATAAAAATAAGATACCAAAAGCTGTAAGAATCTTGGGGTAGTCTTTTGGTTGCCTTGGGGTGCAAATATAAAATATAAAATAATGCTCTTTGGATAATTTCTAAGGCTATTTCTAAAAATAATGACCTGTAGATAGGCGTTTGGTAAGGCATGGGGAAAACTGGGCAATTGTGATTGTAAATGACGGGCAAATGGCTTTGGTGAGAAACACATCTAGTGCTAATCTGAAGGCATAGAACCAAATGAATGGCATCAAAGAATTCTATCAATTCCAGTCATATAATTCTCATTTTATATCCTCCTTTTCTGCTATTTATTATCTCCTAACCTTCTACTCGATTCTATCTTCTCTAGATAGTAGCTATTTTGTAGATCACATATTTAGAGCCAGATGGCATATAATAGAATCCTATCTGCCTCATAATCACTCAAACTTGACCAAGTCCCTTGTCTTTAAGCCCCAGAGTTCTTCCCTCACCCCCCAGGGGAAAGCGCAAACGCAGTCCCCCCACTAACAAAATTATGCAGTCGAGTTTCCCGCATTTGGGAAAATCGCAGGGATCAACACACCCCAAGTGCAATGGGTGAGCCTCGCCCTGGGAAAACCACCTGTGTGATCATGGTATCTCCCCTGCCAGGTAAGTATAAGCCTCAGAGTTCATATGTGTAAGTCGAATACCATACCTGGCCAGGGTTGGGGATGGAAGGCCCCGAGTTCATCCTCTGCACCTCAGAAACAACAAAACCCTGACTACCTGGCCAGTGTACCTAAATAGTATTCTTAGGAAGGGAAGATGATAGATGTAAAGCTTTCGTGAATTGTGTCTTGTTTTCATTTTCTATTAGTACATTTTGATTTCTCTATTTTGTGCCCTTGTATGGGTGTGGGGGTACAGGTGGCATGGTAAACAGGTGGAGGTCAGAGGACAATAAGAATTGATTCTCTCCTTCACCATGCAGATCCTGGGGATTGAACTCAAGCAGTGAGCTAAAGAAGCGCCTTTACTTGAGACATCACACCAGCCCCATTTGTATCATTTTAGTGACAGGGTCTTGCTGTACAGCCTAGGCAGGCCTCATACTTGTGATTCTCCTGCCTCAGTGCTGACCACTAAGTGTGCTAGGATTACAAGCAAGCACCCCTGTGACTCGTTTGGACTGTAAAAATCTTATATAACAAAGATTTTCTGTTCTCTGCATTTTCCTTTCTCATTACCTAAGATCTAAGCTTCCTATGGGTCCCATAGGTATTCATTTAGCTTGAGGCTGGCTCTGAGGCCTGTGAGTGTGCTGAACACTAGCTGAGGGGCATTTTAAAAGACAAATAGTCTCAAACAAAGATGAAACTCAGAGCCATACATATAGCATGTAGGATGGGTTAAGGGTAGAAAGTAGAGGCTGCAAATTACCTATGAGCTTACATTGTACTAGAGGCCAGATTGGTGCCTTCGAGCTTGAGTTTGCCATCCAGTGCCAGGCCCTGTTTCTGGTAGTAGGCAGCCAGGAGTGGAGTTACTGCCAAGGTCCGTGACCCTATACATATGTAGTAAGTTGTCATCTCTTGTTTGCTTTTGTCTTTTCCAACAGGGTTTCTCTGTGTAGCCCTGGCTGTCCTGGAACTAGCTCTATAGACCAGGCTGGCCTCGAACTCACAGACATCCACCTGCCTCTCCTTCCCGAGTGCTGGGATTAAAGGCATGTGCTGCCACCAGCCAGCAGTGATCACATGTTTTAATAGGCCTGTTTGGGGGGAAAAAAAACTAGGATAAATGTAAATGAGTAAGAAGTCCAGTTGTGTTTTAGGACCTGTGGTCTGGGGGTTAGATGCAGAGCAATAAGACACTCACCTGCAATCTTGATTCTTTAGATGACCTTGTTGGTACAGTTGTTGATAGAAACAGACAGAAATAGCTTCTCCATAGTGAACCTGAACCAGAAGAAGGTTGGAGGGAGGCTACCCAGACCTAAATCTAGAATTTTCATTTCCTTAAAACTGTTGTCCCGACTCCCATGTCTGCCTACTCAAGTTAAGACATCAGCAAAAAGGGGGTATCAGAGGGGTTCTAATGTAATGGATAGGATATAGGTGGGTATCACCAACCTCCCTGTCCATCCAGGAGTTGTTGGGGTTGAGCTGATGAGAAGAAGCTGCGAATGGGGCGGGGCGCGGGGGGGGGGGGAGGGAAATGGGGGGGGGGGGGGGGGGGGGGGGGGGGGGGGGGGGGGGGGGGGGGGGGGGGGGGGGGGGGGGGGGGGGGGGAGTCTGGTTGTGGGGTGAAAACTGCACTTTCCATGTAACCAGATGCACAAAATGGCTGAGTAGAGGCCAAAGGATATGATCAAAATCTCATTCTAGAACCACAGACAACTCCATACTGTCCTTAAATCTCTGTGTTTACTTGGGGATGGAGGTGGGGAAAAGCCTCCCTCAGAGAATGCCTTGAGTCCTTGGTGTTCTATAAACCAAGGGGTTGCAAACTGGCCTGCTGGCTAAATCTGTCCTGTTTCTTATTTATCTATGGCCTGCAATCTAGGAATGATGCGATGCCTGCAGTTGTAAATGGCTAAAATAAAGAAAAAGCCATAGTCTATGACAGATGTTATATAAAATCTAAGTGTCAGTGTCCAAGAATTCAATTTTGTTCAAATGCAGCAACATGTTTTCATTTTTTTTGGTATCCATGACTACTCTAGCACCACAACAGCAGAGTTCTGCGGTTGCAACCAAGACATGGGATCCCACAGACTATAAATATGCCTCATTTGGCTTTTCACATGTCTCCCAGCCCATGTCCTAGAGTGAAGAAGGAAAGTGAAATAGGAGGGAATCAGAACATCCAAGTTGTTGGCAATGGTGCTATGGTAACTAGGTCTGCTTCTGTCCTAAGAGCAGGGTCTGTGGTAGAGGCGTAAGGCAAGGATTCGAGGAACACCAAGGAATACCTCTTAGGGATTTTCTCATTCAGATTTTCTGCAAAGAAATTCTTCACTTCAAAGTCCACCCCACACAGCTGTAAAGAGTCAGGAACAAAGAAAAATGCATTTCCAATTCTATCTCTCCCTTCCTTGTGGGACCACATAAAAATGTCTTCATCCCTTAGCTGTCTATTTCTCCAATCTCGTCCATCTGTCTTTCTTCCTACACCTCATTGTAACTACATGTCTGTCTATCTGCTCTCTATCTGTTTGGAGCCAAAGCATTCCCCAGGTGCCTGTGATTAAAGGTTTGGTCCCAGCTTATGTTTCTTTTCCTTTTAAGACAGGGTCTCATTGGGTATCTCTGGCTGACCTGGAAGCCACTGACCAGGTTGGCTTCAAATTCAACAGAGATCTTCCTACCTCTGCCTTCCAAGTGCTGGGATTAAAAATGTGCACCACCACACCCAGCCTAGATGATGTTTTGTTGGGAGGTGGTTAAAAAAAATTAAGAGTTGAAACCTCTTAAGAGAGATTGGGAAAGTTTGGTTATTACAGACATGCACTTCTTGGTTCCTCCCTGGACACTATGGGGTGACCAGACCTCTTCTGCCATAAGCTCCCACCATGATGTACTGTGTTGCCACAAATCCAGATCAACTGAGTTGCCATAGACTGAACCATGAGAGAAAAAAGACAAAAAGTCTTCTTTTTAGGTTGACTATGTCATTGGTGGATAGGTAACTAGTTCACTGTCTTCCCTTGCCTTTCCTGAATTTTCAGGCCTAGGTGCAGTGTCACCGAATAGGGCAGGGTAGCAACCATCTAAGAAATCAAAAGGATCTCAGCAAAACAGGGAGACCTTTTCCTGTTCTTTTATCTCTTAGTCTCCTCTGGAAATTGCCCAAGACTTAAAGTCAGTACCTGGAGTGTGAAAGGCCCCAAGTTTGTGCAGAAGCTGTAAGGCTGTGAGGGGGCCCTGGGTGCTGCTTGATTCAGCTGGAGCCACTTGCTTGGCCTGTACATAGAGATCTTCGCGTATGTCAGACCAATCACATCCAAGTCATCACAGCCATAGTAAAAAGCACATGTCAACATGACAAACACTGCAGGCAAAGGAGGAAAAGAGTGACTTGTCAGAGCAGTGGTGAAGGAAATCCTAAATGGGGGATAGCAGGGCCCAGAGAGGACCCTGTTATAATCCAGAAAGCGTGGCCATTAAGAAAAGGATCAATACATTTGGTTGCAGGCAAATTTTAAATGTCTCTGTTAAAAGTTTCAAAAATTAAAAAAGGAAATTTAGAGTTAACATATTTGAAGCACATTTAATAGTTTAGCATCTGGAATATAAAGAACTCTGGGAGGCTGAGGAGATTGTTCAGTTGGCAAAGAACTTGCTGCGAAAGCATAAGTACTTGCGTTTGATCCCATGTAAAAAGGTGGGGTGTGGTGGTGGTACATGCTTCCAATTCCAGCTCTGCTAGGTGGAGAGAGGTGGGGAGCCCTGAGGCTCAGTAGCCAGCCAGCCTAGTCTAACCAGTGAACCCCAGGACAGTGAGAGATCCCGTCTCAGAAAACACGGTAGACGGTGCCTCTTGAGGAATGACACCCAAGGTTGGCCACTGGTCCCCACATATACCTGTTCACATGTGAATAAAATAACTGTTACAAATCAACAAAAAAAATGCCATTCTCAAAGTTTGCAAAGAATGAGGATGTATTCTTAGTAGAAGCACAAGTGCAGTGACTGGCCAATGATTTGTGTAGTCTCAGTAGTAATCAGATGCACTCAAATTAAAGCCACAGTGGGTAAACATTTCACACAGATCAGACTGTCAAAAATATTAAAGCCAGACAACCCTAAGTGTTCATAAGGATGTAGCCCAATTGGAGCTCAAATGAACAATTGGTGGGAACTACATTAATATAACCACTTTGGAAAACTGGTGCTGTCTAGTAAAATTGAATCTTTTCTCATCTTCACTTATGAATGGGGTTAAGACCCTTATTAGAGAAGACTTATGTAGCATCCGTCTTTTTTTCTGTTTCTTCTGCCACCTAAGGATACAGCATTCCTCCCCTCTGGAGGGCCCAGCAATAAGGCACAATTTTAGATGCAAAGAGAAGCTTTTGACCAGAGAATTGAACATGCTAATCATTTGAACTTGGATTTGCCAGGCTACTGAATGGTAAGAAAATAGATTTCTTTTCCTTATATATCACCCAGTTTTGGGTATTATGGTATATCAGCATTAATGGACTAAGAAATATATTAGCATGATTAAATCTCAAAAAGTAAATACCAACAGTGTGTAAAAGAAACTTCTAGCAGCAGAACTAAATGCATGGTGCATCACCATTTATATAAAGCTTAAAACTGTATGTAACAATATAAAATTGGTTGTAGATACATAAACATAAATTATAAGTGTAAAAGCATCATGGAACAAATACACAATAGATCTAGGAGAGTGGTCACCTGCGTAGGAGAAAAGAGACGGGTGAGGGAGAGAGACTCAAAGGACACAGGAAGCCTCAGGTTCTATAGTTCTTTTCAAAGCTAGGTAGTAGCTATAATCTTTATGCCTGAAATGTTTAATAGTTCAAAGGAGTTAACGAGATTTAGGGTCAGGTACCAGCAAGCTAGCACAATGGGTAATCCCCACAAGCTGGATGACTTCACTTTAATCCCTGGGACCCACAAAAAGCTGGAAATGGTGGCTTGCATCTGTAATCCCTGCATTCATAAGGCGAGGTGGGAGCAGAGGCAGGAGATTCATGGGTCAGCTAGACAGAGTAGCAGAACAAGAGAGACCCAAGCTGAAAGGAGAGAACTGACACTCCTAAGCTCTTTGACCTCCGCACGCACCCCATCACATCTGCATTGACATACCTGTATTATATGCATGTGTGCCCATACAAACACATAATAATAACAACAAAATTTCAAAAATATTTCGGGTCAGGATACCTGGACTTTAATAGGACTTATAAAATTCCCTTGGCTTCTCTGGACCTGTTAGTATGATTGTCAAAAATAGGACTGGAGTTGAGGAGATGGCTCAGCGGGTAGCAGTGCTAGCTCTACAACCACAAGGACTGAGTTACAATCTCCAGAACCCACATAAAAAATCTGGACATGGCTGCATATGCTTGTAATCCCAGCATTTGTGGGAAGAGACAATTGGATCCCAGAAGGTCACTGGCCATCATGCCTTTCCAACATGCTGGGCTCAGTTCAGTGAAAGACCCCATCTCAAGTGCATAAGTTATAGAGGATGACACCTGGACGTCTCCTGTGGCCTCAGTGGGTGAACAGACCTGCATACATGTACACTCCATGCACTACCGCCACATTCACACAGCACATACATACATACCCTCAATACACAAATGGTCCTGCACTGTGAGCCATAACTCTATTATGTAGACTTCACAAAAATTCCTTAAGTGAAGAGAAAGTTAGGTAATGGTTCAGGATTCCCCTCCTTCTACTTATTTATTTATGCATTTGTTTATCTTGACACAGGGTATCCCGTAGCCTGAGGTAGTCTTGAACTCCTGAACATGTGCCTCCATGTCTGGTTTCTGCAGTGCTGAGGATTGAACCCAGGACTTCATGCATGCGAGACAAACTCTCTGTCAACTAAGCCACATCCCCAGTCAGGTTCAGAACTTCAGGCCATAACTCATGAGGGTCTAGACTCTAGAGCCTAGTCTCATGTGTACCAAAGTTCACTCAGAGGATGGCTATGAGGAGTTAATGTATAAAAAATCCCTTTGATGCTTAATGTGGTATTTAGATGTAATCCCAGCACCTGGAAGGTGGAGGCAGGAGGATCAGGACTTCATGACTAACTTTAGCTCCGAAATGATGAGGCCAGAATGAGCTGCGTAAGACCCTGTTTTTAACAAAGAAAGAAAAATAATTTTATTTGGAAGCATCCATAGATATGAATGATTGGTAATGATGATGATGGTGATAGAAGTCTTAGCAAAAGATGGAACAGGTACAAGTGAACTCATACTTTGCAGCTGTTATCTAAGATTAGGGGTAGACAGAAAGCCTCTGAACTGTACTAATGGGGTGTGGGACGGGGTAGGCAGGTGTACTCCAAAACTAAAGTGACAGGAAAGGTGAACAGAGATGGGCAACTTTAAGTCTATCTGGAGTCTTTACACAGAGAACTGCCCACAGCCATGTGTGAATAGAAAACAACTTATTATATATGTTGTACATGGTCCATAACTGCTGCACACACCAAAACAAAACCAGACTAAAGTAGGAGGGGAATGGTTAGGAAGGAGGAGATCCTCGGAAATGGGGGATGAATATGATGACGATATACAATATATGTAAGAAAGAGTCCTAAGTGCTGGCTCAAACTCACAGAGCACTATCTGCCTCTGCCTTCCAAGAGAATAGCTCTCCTGAAATGCTAGGCTTCGCATTACCACCAAGCCAGATCCCCAGCCCTGCAATCCAACCCTTTCCATCTCCATGGCTTCTCAGTCTCTTGCTATCTTTCCTCGCTCCTCTGTAGTCAGAAGAAGGCTATGTCCTAGCAGAGGAGAGAGATGATGCTGAACTACTGAGCTCAAATCAGAGCTTAGGCCGCACTCACTGACTTTGCTCTTTCCATGGCCCGAGTTAGGCACCCATAGCAAGGTGCTCCAAGAACAGTTCATCAGGTTGACAACCTCTCCACAAAGGTTACCAGACCCTTTCCTGACTCGTTCCTTATCTCTTTCATTTGGCCCTGCCCTTGCCTTCTTCAGACTTTTGGTGGTAGTACAGTGATTATAGGGATCAAGCCTATGACCTTTTTTGAGGCAGGGTCTCACTATGTAGTCCTAGCTGTCATGGAACTCACTGTGTAGACGGGGCTGGCCTCAAACTCACAGGATCTCATACATGCTAGGCAAGCACACCACCACTTAGCTTTCTTTTTACATTTTATTTTTAGACAAACTCTCATTAAATTGCCCATTCTTGAACTTGTTTGTGATCATCCTGCCTGAGCAGCCCAACCACCCTCAGTTACTGGGATTACAGGCCTACCTTACCAAATCTGGTTGCTCGCTTTTACTTTCTTTTAAAAATCAATGTCTTCTCTAAATGGATCCATTTTTTGTCTTAATTGTATGAAGCATAGACATACAAACTTGCGAGTATTAGAAAGTAGAATCGAAAAGAGAATCCAAAGCTCTCCCACAACGTCATATTCCAGAGAGAACGGCCATGTTATCTATCTTCTGTGATCTGTTGCCAATTGTTTTGTTTCTGTAACTGAACACAAAGTAATCTCAGGTACTTGTCTCTCATTTCATTTTTGAAATGAAACTTTTTTAAATTTCATGACCACTGTACCTTCGCATGCATTTGTGAGAGAGGCCAAGTAAAGTGATGTTAGACAGTAATACTGTCGCATGCCCACACCTTTTGTCTCACTCGCCACTAGCACTCAATGGCATAGAATAAGATACTTTCCCTTAAAACACACACCTCTGATGAAAAGGACATAAGAAAATACGGTAGAAGTGAGATGATGCTCAGAAAGTGACCAAACATAGAACTGGGGGTAAACTTCAGAAATGTGTGTGATTTAAATGAACAATAATATAAAAGTCTGCTAAAGAAACATAAAAGAAATTCAAAGGAAATGAAAAAAATCTATCTAATTTCTGAGTAAATGAGCATTTTGGGGGAGGTAAGTTCTGATACATAGCTCCATTGGCCTGAAAGTTGCTATGCGTGCTAGCCTGGCCTTGAACTTGTACTTTGCTTCCTGACTCAGCCTCTTAGATACTGGGATAGATGGAGACCATCATGCCAAGTACCATGCAATTTTTACAAGTAAATATTTCCTTCCCTATGATATTCTGAGCATTTTTAGGAATGTGCCAGGGGCAGGGTATTTAGATGTTAGAAACAGAGTATTTGTTACTTATAAATAAGTTAGCTAACTCGTGGCTATCCTGCAAAGTTTCTCTGATATTTGAAACTTGCCAGAATGCTTATTCATGGTGCTTAATCTGGGAGATGCAGGAGCGTTTATTCCTCAACATCTAAGGGCTGTTTCTAGACTAGTCATCACCAACTGATTCAGTCTTTTTTTCCATTTGAACCCAATTTTCAGTCCAGTTGGATCACAGTGGGGTTAATCCATAGTGCAAATTAAAAGGGGAAAATGCAGTGGAAAATATTTCTGTGCAATCTTGAATTAGAGTTCTGCTGCCAGAGTGCTGTCTCCTGCTGTTACTGCCTGTGGTTGTTATTCCTTTGGAATTTTTGTTAAAGGAATGTTTGGGCAGTCTCTCTCTCTCTCTCTCTCTCTCTCTCTCTCTCTCTCTCTCTCTCTCTGTCTCCACACATACGGACACACACACACACACAAACACAAAAAAAAACAAACAAAGGAAAAACTCAGTGGAATGACATATATCACAGCTTACAAAATGGAAGCCCAATGAACACTTAGGGTATAAAACAGAAATAAATAAATAAATAAACAAACAAACAAATAAATAAATAAATAAATAAATAAATAAATAAATGGAATAGTTAAAGACCTATACAGGCCTTTAAAAATGTTTTAATGAGTTGTTAACATTTGAAGGTCAAGACATTTATGTAAAAATATGGGCTTTTCTGTGTGTTGGTTCACTCCATAGGCATCTAAGCTTAAATAGAAACCAATAGTCATGCAGGACTGCCATACCAATAATGGGAAAAAACAGAAATTTTGTAAAGACATTATTTTAACTTCACATATTTGCTTTGTGTAATTTTGAAGAGCATAATTTTATTTGTTCTCTAGAAGCATAGTTATTTTGAATATTCTTTGGGGTAAAAATGAACAATCTTTTGAGATTTGGGTCCTATGAAGTGCTTACCGTGAGCTCCACTTCCAGTGCTTTTTACAACCAAAAGAATGTGGCCATGTTATGCCCTACTTCCTGGTTGTTAGGACCTGGCAGACAAAACACTCAGAGTTCCTGTCACTTTCCGGTTTCCTGATGCCCCTTTGGCCTAGGCCTCTCATTCATGTCATCTATCTCGTTTGTGTGGCATTTCTGCACAGGAGCTGGTTCTCCTGCAGCTTACAAAAACCAATAAGGACTTCTATGTACTCTTTCAACCTTTTAAGTACTCGGGGTCAACAAGGATTGCTCCATCTTCGGGGGGGGGGTGGCATCCTGATCAGAAAACCTTTGAGTATGAATTCGACAGGGGTTGATTCCTGGAAAGATGATTCCCTTCCTACCCTTCAATTGGCCTCATTGTTCTGTGTGGTCATGCTTGGCCTGTCTTTTACTTCCTGGCTCCCACTCCCTTCACAGGCTCTTTCCCCCTTGGGACTCACTAACCAATGGGCTCCATCATGTCCAAATCATCCACGAAGCCTCATTTCCCTGGTACAGGGAAAGCTGGTGTGGAACAACTTGCTGGGTCAGTCTCAGTTATCTTTGAATGAATAGTCCCAAAGCCCAGAGCTCAGCCCGCCGAGACCTTGAGGGATGGGTCCGCTTGTCCCCTTTGCACTTTCGTTTGCTCGGCTGTACCAGGTTCTCTTACCTTCCCACTGGAGCTAGTCTCCCTAAACACTCTATGGGGTGCAAATCAGAAAGAGGAAGGGAGTTGGCAGATTAGGAAAGAGGAGAGAAAAGAAAGGGAAGTTTGTGGAACAGAAAAAGATTCCTAGGATTAGAAGAGGCTCCAAGAGCATGAGATAGAGCAGAGCAAAGGTAGGAATAACTGGGGGGGGGGGAGAGGGGCAGGCTATGAACTCTTCCATCCCAAAGGCAAACACTCAGGTTTGGATAAGGAACAATTCAGAGATCCAGAGCATTAGAAGGAATTCTTACGTGGACATGCTGGCCAAGGAATTTATGTTGACTCTTTCCTGAGACACGGAAAGGAGGAAAGCTCAATTACTTAACCCCTACTTTCCTCGTCGCACTCCAGTATCCCATAGAAATGCCCCTAGTATACTAGACACTTAAATACCAGACGAGCACCCAGTGCTTCCTGTTCTCCCCCCTTCCTATGACACCTCTTCAGTTACACATTTGGCCAAGGGGAAAACACCTCCCTCCCTATTTGTTATAAGCCAATCTCTATCTCTGTCTGTCTGTCTGTCTGTCTGTCTGTCTGTCTCTCTCTCTCTCTCTCTCTCTGTGTGTGTGTATACACATACATGCATGTATGCATATGTGTGAAAGTCAACAGGACATCCAGTGTCTTCCTTGGTTGCTCCCTGTCTTATTTATCCCACTTGATCCCACTTTGTCTCTTAAACCATGGTTTGGGGGCTGCACGATACTGAACTTCAGCTGGCGCAGTCGTTGGCAAGACATGTTTGTGTTGTGGGAGAGCGGCAGGGCTATGTTCCTGGCACCCAGCCGCCCACATGGCTAGCTTATGCCCCGAAATAATTACACAGAAACTGTATTCTTTTAAACACTGCCTGGCCCAAAAGTTCCAGTTTCTTATTGGCTAGCTCTTACATATGGATCTAACCCATTTCTAATAATCTGTGTAGCTCCACGAGCTGGCTTACCAGGAAAGATCTTAACCTGCGTCTGTCTGGAGTGAGAGAATCATGGCGACTCCTCGACTAAGCTTCTTTCTCCCAGCATTCTGTTCTGTTTACTCCACCTACCTAAGGGTTGGCCTATCAAGGGGCCTAGGCAGTTTCTTTATTAATAAGAAATCACTCCCACATCATGTTTGTTAACTAAATGAATGAGTAAGTGACTGGATTATATCTCTGTTTGTCCCTGGGATGGACTTGACACTGAATTAGGATGTTTTTAACCTTCAACCAAGATAAGGAAGAAAGGGGAAAAGGAGGAGGAAGAAAGGTGTAGGGGAGAAGGGGTTGCTGCGCTCGATTTCTTGCTGTTGGTGGCAGAAGCCTCCGTGGAGATGAAAAGTCCTCCTGGCCCTTACTTATCTTCCCTCTTATTACTTTCCTCAAAATTTCCCACCCTAGCTCCACCCATCTCTTCAGGTTCTAGGGAACCATAGAGAGGGAAATGTCTTTCTGGTGCTTTCCTTCAGTACATACCAGGCCTGGTCAGAGGGATGAGTTGAGGGTGGTGCATTCTAGAAGTCTCTTACATTGATCATCCATTGCTTGCATCAGGAAAGATGTCCCTCTCCTCCCCCTAAAGGAGACGCTAAAAGCAAGGACGGTAAGCCTATTAGGCTAGAAGTAGGGAGATTTAGAGCTGGAGTTCACATGAGCCTTCAGCTCTGGTTGCTAGGCTGGCCTCCCAGCCTCTTATATCTGCAGTCCTTTGAATGTGTAGATTGGTGGGAGTCAGAGAACAAGAATAGGGTTGAGGTGGGTGGCATGAAACACTGCTATAATTAGCTTAGGGGCCAAGAGTTGGAAAACAGATTAGTGAGCACAGATTAGTGGCTATGAAATCAGCCGGCTGTTACTGAGGAGGTAGGGGATTCTGATGATGGTACTGATTTAAAAAAAAAACAAGAAGTAAAAAGGAAGGCATGACTGTTCCTTTGTATGGTGGAGGAGAAGGTTTGTTGTAGATAAGAGGCACCTGGAAGGGTCCGGAGTAACAATGACCCTGAACCAGGCCATGTAAAGGAGACCAGGAGACCAAGAGGCCAAAAGGGCAAAAAAGGTAAAAGGAGTAAAAAGGATCATGTAGCCCAAATGGCTGGATTATATTAAGGAAGAGCCACCTGGGGGAATGGAACCCCAGACCCTGGGCTGCTGAGTTCAGGGTAGGAGGTGGGTACACCAACCACACCCTGTAACAGGTAGGGACTGAGGGATACTGGGAGAATGTGGGGGGCAGGTCCGCTTTGATATATAAACAGGCACCTCAGCCATTTGTCAGGGATTTGAGACCTATCAGTTACAGGCAGTGCATTTAAGAAGGGAATTTGTGGGCTTGGACTTGTAAAGCCTTCCACACGAGGGCTGGGATCAAAGACAAGTTGGAATTCTTAAAAATGAAGGGGTAAAAGCAGGAGGGCTCATGGTGTGGACCTTGGTCTGTCTGAGCAGCCTCTGCCACATTCCAGCCCCTGTATCTTTCACCATCCGTTGTAGGCCACATGAAAACCCAGAGGGTGGGAAAGAGTCCCAGTTGGGACCTTGGGCTCTTGAAGCCTGATTACGATGAGAAACCCCAATTATCCTAACTCCGGTGTAGAAGAGGAATCAGTCTCCTGTAGGCGGTGGAGCAGGAGCAGAGATCCTTGAATTTCTTTTTTTCTGAGAGGAAGGCACAGTGTTCCTGGCCTGGGGGCAGGTTCTCTGCTAGCGCAGCAGAGCATTACACTTCAGGGAACAGGCAGCTGACTTCTGGATGACCCAGACCTAGGGGAACTTGCCCACCTCCCACTGCCAGCTCTTGAGTCTTTCCAATCCCTGAAACTAGGTCCATGCTCTAAGCAGCCTCCCTCAGCTTGTGTGACCACTCATGGAATTAGAGCTATTTCTGTCCCTGCAGCCACCATAACAGTAGCAACAAAGTTCTCTCTAGTTCTTGTTTTTCTTCTAGGGCATGGGCCCCACCTCTGTACGTACGAAGCGTGTAGAAGCAGAAACTCCGAGGTCTGAGGATCCAGGATTCTGGTCAGCCTTCTCCTCCCCTTAGACCTAGCTGGCGTTTACTATTTACTATATATAATACACAAGTCTTCAACCCTTGAGATGGGCTCTCTAGGTCTCAGAGGATAGCTATGGCTGTGGCTTAGAAGGCTGGCTGAGTTGGGCCCTTTCTCACCTACGGCTCTATGTAGGGTAGAGATAGAAGTATCAAGATTACCATATGGCTGGGTGTGGTGGCACATGCCTCTAATCCCATGGCAGGATGTAGTGGCATATGCCTCTAATCCCGACACCTCAGGAGGGAGAGGTGAGGTGGATCTCTGTGAATTCCAGGCCAGCCAAGGCTACACAGAGAGACCCTGTTTCAAAAATGAACATGTGAATGAAAGAAACTAATGATAGAGAAATAGCTTAGAACTCAAAACCAAGGGCTACATGTATGGAACAGAATATCCGTGTGAAAAAAGTCCCAGAAATACACATGATAGAAAAGGCGAGTGCTGTCTTAATGACCCATAGGAAGTCACAACTCTTGTAGCCCCGTACCATCCAGTTTCCAGTTCTCTGGTTCACTTACTTCCTTGATTGGAAATGTTCTTTCTTAATAAGCAGTCTCTGTTACCGCCACAGTCCAGATGTCCCTGGTCCAATTCCTTTAGGTCATAGGGATCTGGAAATACAGCAGGTGGCCTGCAGATTCCAGTTTCTGCCTCTAACACCTAGATAGAATGCCTGTATTCCTTTGCACAGTTGAGTGAGTCAGCCGGGCCCTTCCGTGACCAGCATGCTCCTCAGGGCCGACTCAGTTAATTGCTCTGTGTCTTTCACAGGCATTTCCAGGCAGTTAGAGAAGCTCGAATTTTGCTGGGACTGTAATGAGACAGAAACTAAGCTTTGGCATGTGGGAAAAAGCCTGGAACTTGCTAAGGTTAGTGTCTATGGGGAAGGTGAAAAAACCAGAAGCAATCTATTTTTGGCCTACGTTTCATCAGACCCACACTCAAAGACCCACTCCTCCTTTTAGGGGCGTATCCCCTCTCTGAAATCAGGTTCTGATCCGCTCAGTGGGAAGAAAGGAGACCTGGGCAGTCTTTAACTCATTATTATCGAACTTAAATCTTTATCTCTTTTTCTGATATTTGCAATGTGGGGCTGGGATATAATTTGTAGATGGTAAAATGCAGAAGTGTTTTTGAGACAAGATCTCACTATGTAGCTTGGGTTGGCCTGGAACTCACAACTCATTGAGATTGCAGGCGTATGCCCCCGTGCCTAGAATAATGCATAAATCTTGAATGCACTTCAGTGAATCTTTACTTACTATGATGGACTGAATACTGACACCCCATGTATCAGGCTATAATTGTTAAAGCATATAGATATTACCCTACATGGTGAAAGGGATTTTGTAGATGTAATTGGAATTCTTTGTTTGCTTGCTTGTTTGTTTGTTTGATTGATTTTTGAGACAGGATTTCTCTGTGTAGTCCTGGCTGTTCTGGAACACACTCTGTATACCATGCTGGCCTCGAACTCACTGAGATCTGCCTGCCTTTGTTTCCCAAGTGTGTGATTAGATTCTTTTTATTTTTAATAATTTATTTATGTGTATTTTATGTGTATTGATGTTTTGCCTGCATATATGTCTGTGTGAGGGTGTCAGATCCCCTGGAATAGGGATTATGGACAGGTGTGAGCTACCATGTGGGTGCCTGGAATTGAACCTGGGTCCTCTACAAGAGCAGCCAGTGCTCTTAACCACTGAACCGCCTCTCCAGCCCCGTGATTAGGATTCTTAAAATAGAGAGATTATTCTGGGTTATCTGAGTTGGTCCAAAGGGAATCAGTCACTAGTCTTATAATGAAAGAGAAGCAAGCTGTGTGTGTGTGTGTGTGCACCTTTAATCCTGGCATTTGGGAGGCAGAAGCATATTGATCTCTGCGAGTTCAAGGCTGGCCTGCTTACATAGTGAGTGCCAGACCAGCCAGGGCTACACAATGAGAGCCTGCCTAAAAAGAAGACGAAAACTAGGTTTGACTGAAGAGACAGGCCATATGAAGGCGGAAGTAAGATGCTATCACTGCTGGCTTTGAAGACTGAGAAAGAAGCCAGTGCTGCAAGCTGCAAAGGCAAGGAAATGGATTCTCCCCACAGACTCCCAGGTTGCCAGGTGACTCTCGCAGTTTAAGTAAAGCCCTGCTGACACTTTAGTTTTTAGCTCGCTGATGCTGATTTCAGACTTCTGACCTCCGGGGTTGTAGAGAACTATTGTGTATTGCCT